TGCGATTTGTAGCGAATCTCAGGAGTCCGTGCGCCTGAATGCTTGGTCAACACCGCATAACTTTTGCATTTTCCCTCACCACATCTTTTTTTTTTCCATTTCCTTTGGTACAAAACCCACAAGACATTTTTCTAGGTTAAATACAATGAGTTAAGGGACTGATGACGATATATGTTTATTTATATTCTTAATTTCCTAAAGTTTCGACAACAATAAGACCGATCCCATTTGAAACTGTGTTCGGGTTCATTTCTTTTAAAGTGATCTCAAAAAGAAAGCAGTGGTGCATCTCTTGAATGTTCCCTAATTGATGGTTAAACAGTAACAGATTCAGGGGTGGCACAGTCGAGCGGCATTCGCCTCCTTATTTATTGATGAGAATACATTTTTACCTGTCTTAATTACAAATTTCGTTTGCCTCCAACTGCAATATGCTGCTATTTTCAAAAATTCTCACAAAACTATAATATCCCACTTCTATGTTGGATTAATCTTCTTGAGTCACCCCCGTCCTAAATGCATTGCAACTGCCGCTCTTTTTGTGAATGGTTGATCCATCACTGGCCGGACCGGTCTGCCTCAAAATACAAGCACGAAAAAGATGAAACAAATTACAGAAAGCAAACGAACGTTCCCCAGGACCTAGAATTTCAATAGAAAATGACATCGAAAATCCCATGCATGTCAAATCAGTAAAGCCTTTGGTTTTACCCAATTCTCGAAGCAAACGCTACATACGGGTCTTTATCATGGCACATAATCATTTACATATAGTTTTTCCCAACGGTAACCCACGTTCCATTTAATTCTGATCTGACCGAAACTGAATGTCATTTTGATGAATGTGTGCCCCATTGGCAATCAGTTTAATATCGGTAATTGATTCAGAAAAATGGCACGGCAAAAATTAGTTAAGTATTTCACTTTTGGAACTCGACTAGAATACTGCTAAAATGTACTATGCCATATCTCAAAAAGTTCATAAATCAAATACATTTGCCTTTAGTTGCTGGTCGTCACGGTGAAAATAGCATTATGCAACCCAACAATACCGTCATTGGAGTGGTCGTAAAACCCCTCAAAAACATCATTTCACTTACCAAACCCAAGATCATATTCCTTCGGATTTCTACTCATAACCAGTATATAGGGTGAGTTCATACACAATCGTGAACGAAAGCCCAAGAATTGATAGGTATCCATTCAAAACCAAGGAGGTTTAGGGCTAGGGTTAAGGGGTTAGGGTTGGTTAGGGTTACGGGGTTAGGGTTAGTTATAACTATTTTCAAGTGGAGTTTGGGTCCGGGGTAGGGTTAGGGCTGAGGTTAAGGTGTTGGGTTTAGAGCTAGGGTAGGGCTACGGGGTTAGGGTTGGTTACGGTTAGTTAGTTCTATATTTTCAAAATGGAGTTAGGGTTGGGGTAGGGTTAGGGTTAAGGTTAGGGTTATGGCTAGGGTTAGGGCTAGGGTTCAAAATGGAGTTAGGGTTAGGGGTTAGGCTAGAGTTAGGGTTACGGGTTAGGGGTAGGGTTACGCTTGAGCTAGGGCTAGGGTTAGTTTTTCTGTATTTTCAAAACGAAGTTTGGGGTAGGGTTAGGGTGGGGGCTAGGGTTAGGGTGTTATTGCTATGGTTAGGGTTAC